TCCTGCAGCAAAAGAAGTAAAAAGAAGTAACTTCTCTAGCTTAGGCAATCAATTATTTCTTGTACGTAAGATAGGCATATCACACATGTACTCCTCTTCAAGTTATCTTCCACCTGTTCCTTGTTGTCACCATAGATCACGTCATCTGCAAACACCTCATCTGTTGGTCCATCACCAGAGCAAACAAAGCTCAAAGGGATCAACTCAAAGCTGATCCTTGATGCACTCCCACCTCCACCTTGAAGCTATCTGTCATTCCTACAGCACATCTCACCACTGTCCTGCTGTCCTCATATGTGTGTTAGTCCAGACTTTCTCATACAACACCACAGTTTCTCCCTCTGCTTTTTCTAAATCCACAAAGACACAATGAAATTCTTTCTTGACCCTCTACTTACTTCTCCCTCAGCATCCTCAAAGCAAAGATAACATCTGTGGTACTCTTTCTCAACATGAAACCACACTGCTGCTCACAAATGTGTTGAGAGCTGCAGTTATCAATAAACCAAACTGCATGTTTGGTTTATTGGTAATACTAAACTAGGTGTGAGTGAGTATGAAAGGCTGTTTGTCTCGTTTGTCTCTATGTTGTCCTGTGTGGGACGAGCAACTTGTTCAGAGTATACTCCGCATCTCGCACAATGACCGCTCCCCACAACCCTGTGTGGTAAAGAAAAAAAAATGGATAGAATTTTTTTCAGCTGGTCCAAATGTGATTATTCTTATTTCAAACATACTGTACTTAAATAAAATAATCAACCCTGGAGATACTGAAGAAAAAAGCTAACAAAGGTGTATACAAAGCAGTCTGAGTCTGACTAGAGCAGTGGCAGACAGCTTCTTGTCATACCTAAGAAGTGTGTATGAAATGACCAACGCTACAAAAGTACAACTTGATGGTAGTACGAATCGACCTGGAGCCATCAATAATAACCCTCATCAGTGTCACAGCACAAAAACAGCAAGAGTGCATTGTGACATCAAGACAAACTACTTCCAACATGAGATTACATGCAGACTACATGGCCAAACCAGCAGGATGGCTGAACCCACCCATGCCCAGTCTTCGGCTGGTCTGACTTCTTGTGAAACACATATATCAAATGCCTCCCAGTTGCATAGGTTAAAAAACATAAATAAATAAAACTTGAGATCCTGCCAAGGCTGCTGTTTGGGGCTCCATCTGCCAGAAACATGCGGGGCCTCCTCGCCCTCCATCATCCTCTAACAAGCGAACACAGAGATTACCGCCACAATCACACTATTAACCTGCCTACAGATGCTAGCAGAGACATCAATCACGCGCCTGCCTCATGCCTCATGTCGGTGCCCACTCTGTGTATACACCACCTCACACCAAACCATATCCAGTACTGCAGATAATATAAGCTGATCACAGAATCACGTTCACGTCCTACGTAACTCATCACCAGAGAAGCAGAGCCTACGTAGATTCTCACACCAGCAGATAACGGCAGATGTTGTTTGAGGAGTTGGAGCTCAAGGTGTGATTGACCACTCTTGGTGGAAAAATCTAGCCTTGGTCCAGCTCTGGCTCACAGTGCATTCTT